AACAGCGAGTGAAGAAGACGATGCCTTTGTTCACTGGGTACACTATGTGCATCGCCTCAGCAACATTTTTGCTCTAAGGGCTAGTACCCATGCGGCGGATGTGCGTCTCGAACGCAAGCTTCGGTATGATTATGCCAAGCTTAAGGCCAGAGGCCAATTGCGCAAGCGCACGCGCTATGCTTCGGCTACTAAGGTAGCCGCGAGTGCTGGTCAGTCTGTGACCAACAACCCGCCAACCCGCACCACTAGTGGTGGTGAACGGCCTCGGCCTCGAGATGACCATGGCCACGATGCTCAAAAGCCTCCAAAGCAAATGGGCAGTCTTGCCGAAGGGGTACCTCAAATTCCCATGAGTTTTCAGACTCATGGTACCCACGCCACTTTACCAGATACTGGTATTGGCCCTGACGACGACGTCGTTTCAGTAATCTCTTGACATGGAATTGACGACACCCATGCTCATCGAGCAAAGTCGGTGGCGGCCGGTGTACCGGTGGAGGCCCACGAGAAATTGGTTCTCGAAGTGAAGGGTCTTCAAGAGGCCTTGGGTAAGTCCCAGTGCATGCTGGATGCGATGCAAAGCCGCCTTCAGGCGATGGAGCAAGCTCAAACTCGGAGCGAGGCTCAGTTGGACTTGCTGATTCGTCTACAGCAATCCGGGGCAGTGCCCTTGTCGTCGGCGCAAGCGCCTCCAAGTTCACATGGGAAGGATCCCGGTACGGCTTGAGTAAGCCTACGTAGAACACTGGATGTGTGCGCAATTTGCGCGGGAGGTTTAGCGTATACGCAAGTCCCTTCTTGGCCGTGACCGTAAACAGTCCAATAAAGCGTGGACGCAACTTTGTCTTAAAGACAGCAGACACTACATTTGTAGGTAGATTATTAGCATTGATTAATACTTGGTCTTCGACCTCATAACGTTCAATACAATTTCTGCCTTTGGCATCAGCTTGTTGTTTTTGGGTATCTTGGCTATCAGCCATTGCGTCACGCACATGTCTTAAGACATCTAATCGCGTTGCGAGAAACTCGCTTACCTGTTTTTGAACAGTAGCAGGGCTGATATCAGCAAGCCGATCGGCAACCTCTCCCCCACCAAGCCCTGATTCACGTAGTGAAAGCGTTAACGGAACGCGAGGGTGAGTGAGACCGTTTATATAGAACGGAGTAAAGCCTGTTGAGGCATGAACAGCGTTATTCAACGCAAACTCAACAACAGGGAGCATTGAGCTCCAACGCCTAGGCGTATCAGCGCAAACACTGCGCAAAATGTCGTTGATGACGCGGTTTACACGCTCAGTTTGACCGTCGGTCTGCGGATGATCCGCTGTGGACATGTCCAACCGAGTGCCAAGCACCTTGAAGATAGACTTCCAAAACTTCCCAGTGAAGCGGGGGTCTCTATCAGAAAATATTGCCACATGCAAGCCATGTTGGCGAAAGACACGGTCGATAAACAGCTTTGCTGTACCTTCAGCATCAATGCTATCCGGCACAGCCGCTAAGTGAGCCATCTTGCTCAGTCGGTCAACAAAGACCACAATACCAGTGTTGCCTTCCGAATCTTTCGGTAGGCCAAACACAAAATCCATGCTCATGGACTCCCAACAACCACTGGGTACCTGCAAACTAGCCAGCGGCGCCGCCGCATGTGCCGAGGGTTTTACCCGTTGACACGTTTCGCACGTACGCACATAGGTGCGCACCCACTTATAAAGTTTGGGCCACCAATAACTTTGGCTCACCGAGCTATAAGTCTTCTCACGACCGAGATGACCACTTAAAGCAGTATCATGTGCCTCATAGAGGATCCGATACTTTAATTCCTCATCATGAGGTACTACGATACGAGGGTTGTCCTCAATATCCGTGCGATAGCACAACAGGCCATTATCGATGGAATATCGATGTAGCCTCGCACGTAAACGTGCCGACAATTCTATGTCCGAGTCTTTAAACTCATCGCTCCCAAGAGCACGTAGCAAAGCTACAAACTGATCGTCCTTGGCATATGCCGCACGAATTAAGTCAGGGACTGACGACGCCAGGGTCGTAACATGAGCAAGCTCATAGTCAGGTCGACGCGATAGCGCATCAGCCTAAGCGTTTTGCTTACCTGGCTTGTACTTTACCTCGAAGTTATATTCGGCAAAGAATGAAAGCCAACGAGCCATTCTCTGTGAGAGATGAGGCGACTGTGTCGCAGTGCGCAATGACGCATGATCGGTATAGATCACAAATGGCTTCGAGCCAAGCAGATGGACTCTGAATTTGACAAGAGCGTACTTCATAGCAAGTAGCTCTTTGTCATGAACAGGATAGTTCTTTTCAGCAGCTTTCAGCTGTCGAGATTCAAATGCGATGACGCGTTCGCGTCCGTCGACATCTGTTTGTAACAGAGCACTGCCTATGGCAAAGTCAGATGCGTCACAGACGACACTGAAAGGCCGACCAGAATCGGGCAAAGCCAATATTGGCGCATGAAGGAGATTCTTCCTTAACTGCTTCAAAAGCATTATGTTCGGTGTTACCCCAACACCAACCCACATCCTTTTTAAGGAGATTGGACACTGGACGAGCCATATCTGCGTAATTTGCACTGTACTTATGTAAGTAATTGGCAAGGCCAAGCCACTTACGCAAGTCCTTTTGGTTCTTGGGGACTGGCCAATCGACTATGGCTTTTACCTTAGCGGAATCCGCTCGAAGGCCTCGCTTCCCAATGAAGCACCCTAGAAAGGGAATCTCTTCTGCACCAAAGATGCACTTCGATGCGTTCGCATACAGCTTATTCATCCGCATACACCCGAGCACCGCTCGTAAATGATCGATGTGATTGTCCACATCTGATCGCCCATTCATTGCACGACTATGGACAAAAATGTCATCAAAGTACGTTTGTGCATAGCCTCGATGAGGTCTGAATAGTTGCGTTACCAACCGGTTAAATGTAGCCGGGGCGTTAGATAGCCCTTGTGGCATAACGAGCCACTCCCAAAGCATACCGCTCGAAGTACTCACCGCTGTTAGCGGAATATCGCTTGCTCGCATGAGCAGTTGGTAATAACCATCGACTAAGTCGAGTGCACTGTACAGTGTACATCCCGCCATATTGTTCTGAAGAACATCCTTTCTAGGAATAGGCGTCTGCGCCGGTATAGTGGCTGCATTAAGCTTATTGTAAGCATGCACAATACGCCACTTGCCATTTGGCTTTCTGACACAAAATGTCGGTGTTGAATGGGGAGATTTACTCTCACGAACCATTCCAGCCGCGTGCTTAGCACGAAAGAAATCGTCAATGACGTCGCACTGTTCTTTAGGCAAAGGCCACTGCCGTGTTACACAGTATTTAGTTCCAGGAACCAAGTCAATCTCATGACGTACACCTCTATCGGGAGGTAAGGCAGAAGGCGGGTTGTGACACACCACATCTTGAAATTCCTTGACTAAAAGATAGAACGGATCCAAAGGATCTTAAGGATCGAAGATCCACTTCGTGCACTAAGTGCCGCCTTTGTATCCTCTAGGACAGACTCATCCATTAACGAGGAAGAATTTAAGTCAGTATCAGGTCTAATGATTGCTAACTCGGATAACTCTCCTGCCTTCAAGGCCTGGCTAAACTCGCCATCAGACATTTCGTCTAGCTCACACAGAGCGTCCACAGATGGAAGGGTTTCGAGGCTCACATTGCCATTAACCTGACCAGTCACTCCATTAACAAGTGTATATAGTGTATTGCTAATCTCACTATGTGACTGTGAGGACGCCTGGCGCTTTACAGCTGCTATTTGGCGTCTCGATTGTCTCTTCGAGACCTTACACCCCTTAGGGGTCGGGACAATATTGTCCCAATGGTTACTACCAACCATAGTACGCTCTACACGAGAGCTTTTGTCTTGACCGACATTTAGGTGTGGTGCCCTCACGGCCGTCCACACTATACGGCGTATCGCCAACAGTGTCATTACTGACATTAGGTGTGGTGCCCTTACGGCCGCCCACACTATACGGCGTATCGCCAACAACGCCATTACCGGCGTTAAGCGTGGTGCCCTCACGGCCGTCCACTCTATACGGCGTATCGCCAACAATATCTTTACTGACATTAGGTGTGGTGCCCTCACGGCCGCCCACACCATATGGCGAATCGCCAACAACGCCATTACCGACATTCAGTGCGGTGCTCTCACGGCCGACCGCACTCGGTGTAATTTCACGTGCCACCATACACACATCAAAGGAATCACGTCCTTGATCACTCGGCCCTAGGCCAACCATGCTTTCAGCATGCAGTGATTCGTTATCACAACGAGTACCACTCAACGGAGTACGTGCCGTTTCACTAGTTCTAGACGAGCTAGGCTCGAAACTTATGTTTTTAACATTGGATTTAGATAACTCGGACATTCCAATATCCAGCACATTGACATCTTCTGTCAAAGGCTCGCGCCAATAGCGCTTCTGCTGCCTAGCAAAGGTGGGTTCATGACTCTCCAAAGCTTCGCTAGGAACATTGCGCGTAGCGCCTAAGGTCTTTGACCTCCAATCAATCCATGGCTTATGGCGCTCAAGCCAATCCATACCTAGGATGAGATCATATCTCGAGTCCAAATCTAGGACAAGACAGCGCTCAATACTGTCAAAGTCTAAAAACTTCATACCTAAGTTCAATGGAACTTTAGGCACCGTTACGCGACTTCCAGTCGCTAAACGAACCGTGATAGAATCACCTTCATGCGCTGTAAGCGCCTCAGCATAACGCTGACTTCCCTCAAGGGAACGGCGTCGAGCATAATTGCAAGACGCCACAGGATCGATCAATATCGACCAAGGCTTCTCGAAGCCCTCAATTTTCGCCTCGGCGACCAACAAGCCAGACTTGTATCCACGCACCATACCCGTAGGTATGGTACTCTTTGGGGCTAAGCCCTGCATTCCTTTACCTTCTAAAGGTGTAACAGAACATAGTTCTTCCCCAGTAGGGCGCCCCGCGCCTACTGGGTGTCGGCATTTCCCCGTGCCATGCCAGACTTCTGACTCGGGCTCGAGTGTTGGCTCGTAGTCTGGCGTTGCTTACGCAAAGGGCAACCAGGCCACAAGTGTTTAGTGCTTCCGCACGTAAAGCATCGTCTTACAACGTGTTTCTGCTCAGCAGCTTGAAGCTCAGCTTCACCTCCATCTTCAGCATAGCTGAGATCCATCGGTTCCAGCCTATTATAGGCAGTGGTACCCGAATAGTTTGCTCTCACAGAGCGAGGATTGTATCCGTTCCAACCAAGTCTGGCCGACTTGAAGTTATGCTCAGCATTAAGAGCAATTCTCACAGCCTCTTCAAACGTAGAGGGGTGAACCCGAAAAACTTCGGTTCTGGCAATGCCAGCACGTAGACCTTCCATGAAGATAGTCACATGGACTGCTTCAGGCAAAGGGTCAGACTGCATTGCAGCCATGAGCGTTCGCAGCTCTTGGACATAGTCCGATAATTCATTCTTACCCTGGCGGGTAGAAAGAAAGCGTGAGCGCACGCGGTAAACCTGGTTAGGTGGAGAAAACACCTGTACCAATTGTAACTTGAGCGACTCCCATGTGGGAAACGCTATGTCCACCGACGTGCTACACGTCAAGGCCCATTCTCTAGCTCTACCATCGAGCTTCGAGATAGCCAGCGAGACCTGTTGATGGTCAAGCGTGATCAGGCCTGATCTCATGGCCATCTCGATCTCACGGATCCAGAGGATGAGGTTCTCGCCCTCCTTACCGGAGTAGTTTTTTACTTCCACTCTAAGTGGACGAGGCTTAGCCTCTTCGTCTGGTACAGACACGTAGCGTGTAGGCATAGCCGACGCTATTTGGTCTTGGACCTGCCCTTAAAGGGTCGCTTCATACTGCATGAAGCTTTCAACACGTGCATCAAGCACTTCAGGACCTTGTGAAACAAGGAACTCCACGTACTCTAGACCCAAAGATGCGGTCAGCTTATCAAGCGCGACATTTTGGGCCTCAGATAGGGGAGTGATGTTTTCCATCCTCACAAAGGATCAGACTTAAAGACTCAGGCGTAGATTGACTACAAAGGCTACCAAGTGTAGCGGAGCTACACAGCTCCTTAAGTCAGAGGAAGACTTAACGCTCTACGAGCAACTTAGTTCTAAAGAACTAACGACTTTACGAGTCAACAAGCTTTATAGCTTCAGATCCCTGTTCCAGGGGACCTAACGATTCAGTGAATCGACAGCACTTAGTGCTCAAGAGTAGCTACCTCAAGGAGGTGTCGCTAACTCTTAGTGATCAGAGATCAACGATCAAGACGGCTCGCAAGCCACGTGTCTTTCAGATCAAAATGGGAACTGATTTTATTTTTGTTAAAGCCTATAGAATATCTTAATCCTACTCAAAGATCTTTCGTATCTAATGGCTGACACTCGTCAGCCCCTACAAACCGATAAGTATATTCTATATCACCTTCACAGAAACGAACCCTCAGGTGTGTAACACCTCTGGTACAAAGTACCATGATTTCGTGCAACCCCGTTACAACCCCGATTCCTTGTTTTGTGTGTTCTTGCCCACCTTGACTACCCGTCGGTGGGGCAAGTTGCGCTCTTCTTGGTGGACCTTAACTGAAGCTGAACTTGACCGTCTGTGGGATAGGCGTTGATCGGGTGGAAATACTACACCCGGCCAACGTAGGTGCGTATCGCGTGGAAGTTCTTCACTTGAACGCTTGTAACTTGGGCGCTCTCCCAGAGTCGCCTTTGCCAGGGATGATGCTTGATACGCGAGCCTTCTGACCACTTAAGATTTCTCGCGATCTTGAATCTTAACCGTAAGGTTTACTGCGTCCTATCGCAGTTGAGGGGGGGGGTGAAAATTGACCTTCCGCCTGGCCAAACAATCCAAGGGCAAAGTTTACTTGAGACGTGGGTGACTTTTTATTCAACGGGAGGCCAAAGATCCTGTCCGGGAGAATTCGACGCGTGTCTTTCGTTGCAAACTCAATTCGGTTTAATGTCAACCAACCAAACCTAAAGCTAATGACTATGCCTATCTGTTCGCTAGGTCGGCCGTCTATGTCATTCACCTCTTTCATCCTGTGGTCCACAGCAGATAATCCATCGTGGACCGCCCCATACCGGATCGTACAGTACCGGATTGCGGAGTACCGGATCGCGGAGTTACGTATCGCGGAGTACCGGATCGCGGAGCACCGGTTCGCGGTATGCGATCCACGGCGGGTGCGTAATCTACTACGATCATCATGACACACTCCGCTTGACCTTTACCCCTTCATGACCGTTGATTGGGTTACTCTGCATAATTTCCACAGTCATTTCCTGTCACTCAGCCGTGTGACACCATCATCCGTTCCAACGGGCCCATCTCCGTACGCGCTCCACCAATCAAACTGATTTTCGTACTTAGGGGCAGATCGCGCGATCCACACTTCTGTCATTCTTCCTTCGCGCTTCTCCACAACCCTGCTTGAGACTGACTCGCAAACACTGACTAACACCGTTTCTTAAAAAGCCAAAACAATTTTCTGTAGACAGGTTCTACATCATAACTGAGCAGAGTTCCTTTTTATGTCACGATTTGTGTGGCCGTCTTTGAGATTGTATACAATCCGCTTGTTATCCAGGCGAGTTTGCTAGTCTTCGTAGAAGAGCAATTATCATTGCCAGTTCCACATTTGTGCAAATGTTCCGAAACCAGTACTGTGCTCAACACGAGTATAAATTAGGTAAATAAACAACGTCAATGGCTATATGCCCAGCTGCAACATGGATAAGAAGCTGCATGGTTGTTGACGAGACTTTCCATCTCATCGACAAATGTCATACGAGTAGTTACACACGCCCCATTTTTGACCAACGGCTCATTCACTTATCAATCTTTCACCCATTCGTCGATCCGCCTACTCGCAGTGAGAACACTGCGAGTGGGCCCTATCGCACCAAATCGATAATCTCGTGATCGTGGGGAACCCATTGGGACACAGTTCTGGAAATGGAAGTTGTATCAGAATGAGACACGGGTGTATGGAAAAAGGACAGGTCGTTGTATGGGAACATGGGAACAGGAAGTTGGAACATTTGACTCTGGTAAGGTCGTTATGTGGGAACGGAGGACACCGTTATTCTTAAGAAGAATGCCAGTCGTTAACGCCTTATATATACTTTAGTCCTCATTTTACCTTCCAGTACGCAAGTGTGCTTAGGGACACATATTCTAACAAAAAGTACATTCCTTGTAATAGAGGAGCAGTATGTCACTTGTTGGTGTGTTTGGTGCCGGTTGTGCTATTCTAACGAATGGGTGCTGTTTTTGTGTTTAAGTGCAAGATGATAACTTGCAAGTGGCCTGTCATTAACTGGTTTTAGTGGTGCGTATACCCTTAAAGTGCATTAGTAGTGATAAGAGCAGGCCAGTCGCTGCTGCGTTTTGTGCCGATTGTGTAGTCCTCGCAAATGCATGCATGTGTGACGCGCGGTGATTCAAGCCAGAACAATAATTTCTAGGTAAATACCCCTGCGTTAGAGTAATCGAATCTTTTGCAAACTTTATGGATACTTGCAATAGTTTCTTGTCTGGTTTGTATGTGCAAGCAGCAAATAATGATATTTGAATGTCAACACTGGAAATTCGCTTAACCAAGTAAAAATTGTAGACTACGTGTGCTATGCATTTATAGTTACATTGTCCAAGCTGGATGTCATTGTGTATACGATTCCTCAGATGATGCAATAAGCTATAATCTGCAACCTCATTATGTATGAATGCAGCAAATACTATTGCGTGGAACCCGTATGGAGTGATGTTGGGCACCACGTTACTTGTCAGGACTGCAGTACCTAAAATTAAATAAATTGTCACGTCGCCTAAGTCAACCAGCTGTGCAGAAATGGCATCATTGTTCTTGTTGGTAGAATATGCATGGTGGTGACATGGTTAATTTTTATTTCCCGCTTGTATGAACGACCAATACTTAAAGTGGCTCCTGTAATCGTAATTCCGGAACTGCTGAAGCGTCCTGTAATCGTAATTTCAAAACTGCTGAAGCGTCGTTTTGCGGTCATCCAACCTGCTTGTAGTACGGATGTGATCAAAGAATACTGAAGGGTTATTTAGGCTGATAACTACTTCAATAGTCTTCCTAATGGAACCTTGCTTGAGTTTTTCACAAGGTACGACGAATTAAATTCTTAAGTCTCATCGATTGTGTGACCGATAGTACACTCCGCGCCAGATAATTTCGCACACCTGTACTTTTATCCACTGCTCAGTCAGTTTTACGAATTAGTGGGCGCTATTTAGATATGTGGTGTATTTATTCATAGAAACACCCTCTGTGTGTTAACGATTGCGATTTTGTAAAGCGTAAGGGGCCTCACATACAAATGACTGATTTTGCCACTGCGACATGTAAAATCGTACAAAAAGGCATACAAATTTTACGTAAAATGTTTCAGTATGACTGTATTACTGGGTTGATATTAGGGCACAAGCATTTGGCGACACGATGTTAGCGGCTCATATCGACGGGAATGGCAACAAGAAGCCAAGATTTACCTACCACGAGCGGGGAAGGATAGTGGGTCTTCGAAAGGCTGGACTGAGTTTGCGTGCCATCAAGCCTCTCACCTCAAGGAGTTTTGACACTATACGTCGAGTAGTATCCCCTACCTCTCCCCTACAGATGAAATGCCGAGGACCCGCTCCGCTTCTCTCGAAGCGCCACTTGCGACTTCTCTTGCGCACCTCTGCTCAGGGAAACCTGTCCGCCGCCCAGCTTAAGATCGATCTCAGCCTGCCGGTGTCCGTCACCACCGTGCAGCGCATTTTGGCCGATGTCGATTGGTTTGTATACACCAAGATGGAAAACACGTTGCCGCACACGGTCGCGGACATGAGTGCGCGCAAATTCTGGGCCAAGGACATGCTGTTGCATGAGGATGCCGGATCCGTCTTGGACTCCATTATTTTCTTGGACGAGAAAAAATGGTATCTTGACGGGCCCGACGGCATTCAGCACTACTGGAGAGATGTGCGCCAGTTTGTCCGCCAGAAGAAGCGTCGTCAAGCTGGAGGTGGGTCCACCATGATTTGGGCCGCTTTTAGCGCTTGTGGCAAGTCTCCACTTGTTGTGCTGACGGGGAGGCAGAATTCGGACGACTATGTTTATACAGTGTCTGAATATCTTCGACCATTTGCGCATCTGACCTATGGTGAAGATTTTATTTTTCAACAGGACAACGCAAGCATACATGTTTCAGACCGTAGCCGCGAATTCTTCAGTAAAGAGGGTATTCAGGTGCTTGACTGGCCATCAAAGTCTTCTGGTCTCAACCCCATCGAGAATTTGTGGTCTATCGTTAGCAGGCAAGTGTACGCCAATGGAACACAGTTCGAGTGCGTGTCTGAGCTAAAGGCTGCGCTAATTGCAGCTTGGAATGCAATTTCGAATGCCACACTTGTGTCGCTTGTTCGCTCGATGCCGCGACGATGCATTGAGGTCATCGAGAAGAAGGGCAGTAAAACCCACTATTAAATACAGTGAGTCTTTACATGTTCATTTAATACTTCAAATTTGTATGCCATTTTGTACGATTTATGTTGCCGTGGCGAAACCAATCATTTGTGTGTGAGGCCCCTTACGCTTTGCAAAATCGCAATCGTTAACACACATAGGGTGTTTCCATGAATAAAATACACCACATATCTAAATAGCGCCCGCTAATTCGTGAAACTGACTGAGCAGTGGATAAAAGTACAGGTGTACGATATTGCCTGGCGCGGAGTATAATAGTACACTGCATCAGTGGCAACGGACTCTTTCTGTGTGTATCATACCAACGTACCTTGTAATCACAACCATTTGTGTAGCCCCTTTCACCCAGTGATCGTAACTGCAGTACAAGTGATAGTTTAAAAAATATCAGATGATCAACGATCAGTAGTACAATGTCTACGTCTCAGTCCCTCACTCCGTCCGTCATGTCGCACAACGGTTGATACCCCAAATCGACATTCTACACCTTTATTAATGATATAGCTTGGAGAGAATCAAATAACTTCACTTTGCCTCGAGCATCCCATTGTCGTAATGGATACTGTCGCGTTGGCCTCAGCCTGATAGCCGATGCAAGTAGTTACAGTGGATCTAACGAATCCGTCTAACTCCGAAGTCGGTGGCGAACGTGGCCGGGTAGTCGCTACATATGGACAGAGTAACAGCATCAAGTGGACATCCATAAACAAGTAGTTTGACGGTCCATCGCCGAGGTCGCGCGAGGCCGAACGTACGCGCCATGACATTGGATCGAAACAGAGCTGATGGTCCAATGGGCCGCTGTTTGGGTTGCTCTTTTTCTGATGGTGCGAAATGCTGTCAATTTTGAGAGTGTGGATTGTTGGCCGCTTCGCTAGGGATGCGGGAAGGCGAGGCAATGCCCATCTGTGTGGAATAGAGGACGTTAACCAGAAGTCACGGCATTGAACAGGGAATGCGTGCGAGCAATCTTGACAGAACGCTCTTCGGTTCATTATGACTGTAGTTAGATTGAATGAGTGTCAATATGCAATCGGTTTTGAGACGTGGTTGTCAGGCTGAAGAATGTATTTGATCAGAACACAAATAACGCTAGTTTCCTCATCGTCGAGTCCGGTAGAAGCGAATTTCACCTTAGTATGACGGCTTAAAGCATCAAAAGGCGTATTTGCACTACTAATGAACGAGCCATCTGGCTCAAGCTCATTTCTGACGAGCGATAATAAGCGCTTGCTCGCTACTGCGCTTGCGTGTGTGCACGTATTCGTGGCCCTCTTTTCTACAAAAATGACGGTGCCGTCGACTCGACACACAAAAAGTCAACGAGTATTACCTTGCGACATGACATCGGGTTGGATGTATTATAGCTACTCCACCCAGGCCTTAGCGATCTCATGGAAGTGCTGACGTAGCAGCATGTGATCCTCCTGCTCAGGAGAAAAGCGCACACCCGTCACGTCGAACGGACACGATATGCCCAAACCCCGCTCCGTGACAGAACCCGGATACACATCGCATAGTCGCGCCTGAGTATAAAACACGGGCTTATTCTTGGGATCATACACCAGAATGTCATCGCTATTGAGGTACAGCACGCTAGCATTAGCAACGAGCCTTTCATCCTTCGCTTTTACGGGGTAATAATGCGCGGCGTTGCCGCAAAGCACCGACTTGCCGGGACCATAGTCGCGAAAGTCCCAACCCGCGCCTCCGGTTCCAAAATCAGAAAACGCGTACTGCGTCTCAGCCAGCTCGGCGGCCACATAAAACAGCTCCTTATCCCCGTAAGAAGGTGGTTCGCCGATGCGGTTGATCGCTATAAAAGCTCCTAGGATTGCTGTTGCTCGTGGCTGCCGCTTCTTGTTCCATAATAACAGCGACGAGTCCAGCTCGTGGCCTGCGCGGTAGTTCCACGAATGACTCGTCAGCAAATGCTCGCTCGGTGAGAATTTGAGCTTTACCGGCACCATGTTCTTGCTTGTTGCCTTTGGCCGTTTGATGTAACCCAACGGCTCAAACGGCGACACATCGAACCGTGACATAAAGTCATGTATTTCCCGCACATCACCTTTGCCACCATCGACGGCTTTAGCCAAGAAATTTACGTCGGAACCGATTCGGTCATAAAAGAATAGCGTGCCCGTACTCAGGTACTTGTCCGTATGCCAAAGCGACATGGGGCTCTCGAAAAACAACGTGTCGGCATCCAGCAGCATAACTTCTTCAAACCGCGATAAAATCACAGCCAGTATCTTAATGTCAAAGCTTCGGAACAACTCATAGCAGTTGCTCAGACTCTCACAAAACACCTTCACGGACGCATCCCGCAAGCTGACGGTCTCTGACGCGAGTTCACAAACATCATAGAAGTGCAGCACACCCACTTCTTCTTTTTCCAGAACCTTGTGAATCGTCGAGTCTTTCAGATCTCCACAATGCGGTATTTCGATTGGTAAAAGCACGTCCATCGCTCGCAGCTCCAAGATCAAAGACACGCCCAGCGTTGCAATGTCGTCGAACAGTGGCAGCACAATACCCCGCTTGTCAATTGTCCGCTGCGCCATCTCGTGGATCGTGTATATGAGCTGCTTCTCCATGCGCTTCACGTCGTCAGCCGAGAACAAGCTGTCCCTGCTGGCAGGAGGTGGCGGTCTGTAGCTACTATCACGAACATCTCCCTCGCCTTTATGCACGTTAACACCATGCCCTCTAGTCTGATCGATTGCTGATTGGTTTTTGCCCATACGTACATTTTCCAGAGCGACTGACGTATAGCGCAACGTGCACAAGAAATCGGCGGTCATTACGAGCATTACGAGGCCGCAGACCACTAGCGAAATCATAGAGGGGCGAGAGACTGATGGACGCACTGCATGTAAGATACTGACGGGAGCGTAGTGGTCGCTCCGAGCAACCTGCAGGAGTTGTGGAGGTTTCCTGGGCGCCATCTGTTGTTGCGTCGTGGGGCCTCTTATGAAAGATCATATCGCGGCATTCGAGTTGTTACGGTTAGGCCTGCTACCCAAAATCATTGGCCCGGGTCGAACTTTGATCCAAAATTCGGACCACAGGGACGAGGAGGCGGCGGCCCAACAGGTCGCCCCCGTCCATTCATTATGTGTACCACACTATCCGTCGACGCAAAGAAGCTACATCTTCGCTGATCAGTATTATGCATATTTCTTAATCAGGTGTTGCCTAGTTCTTGAGGTCCGCCAGTGCGGAAACAAATGCCGAAACAGACGTGCTTCATTATATATCGTGAGTCACAGAGGTGAAACCGACGACACACATACGTGCGCCTTTACGAGTGAAGCAAATCGAAATTCCACTCGAAGTCGCACTTAGGTTGACGCAGATGCTAGCAGCACCGGTTGAGGTTTGCGTCATATTTTTCGGTGTTCGCTGTCACGTAAATATCAACTTTGCTCGAAGTAAACGCCTTAGGATATTCGATACCACATCAGCGCGCACTGCATCTTGTTCGGATTGTTTTCCATGTATCTGTTACCTGGTCGTCAAAATGCCTGGCTAAAATTTGACTCCTATTATACCTTCATTCGCACATCTGATCCACTATACTGCACTGGTTCTAAACAAACAGCCTCTCCTTCTGTGCGCCTTAGAGTGTGTCCAATCTAGCTTGTCTTTATGATGCAACACGAATTCATAGATGTCAATCGACCGGTTGCGTTATTTAAGTGACAGTCACTGTCACAGTGGAACTAGGTAACCAAGACTGACCTGGAGTGGCGAAGGGGAATCGCTTGACAGCCTATCGCGTCCACTAAATAGCTGTCGGCCAGCCTGCTGCCCCGTCGCAAAATTATCGTCTACTTCCACATTAATTAGCGCCCACTTCGCGGCTGCGTGTACACTGGGCAATTAAGATTCTGATTGGAAGTCGAACTCTCGTGTTGTCGGGAATACTCTAAAGGACTCTTTACGCTTTTGCTTGACGCTTTTGTTCAATTTCGATGGCAAGTTGGAGCTAAGACTGCACCTTTAGTTTAAAAGCGATATAAGGTGTAAGGTAGTACCTCTGTATCACGACATTTTGATTAGGCAATATTGGTGATGCTGAGGTAGAACACTGTTAAATGGTAAATATAAAGCAATAATATCAGACAATAAATCCAATCCACACAGGATAATTTGCGTGGATAGAAAGTAGATTGTTGCAAGAGCAAATCTCATTAGTAGGACCACATATGTCCAAAAGTCTTAAAAACCAGGACTATAGTTTAAACAAGTCTGAAATTGTTAGATAAATAGTGTTGGGCACATTATACTTAACTGCAACATGGGATAAGAAACTGCCTGATCACTAATGAGTCTTTCCATTTTTCAGACAACTGTCGCAAGTGGTCGAAAAAAGCTCTTTTTTACCAATGGGTTGTTCACTTCTCAGTTTGCGCCCACGAGCCGATGTGCCCATTTTGGGTTGGGCACATTGCGCGCGAGCCAGGGCCGGTCGCACGCACCCGACGAGCTCGTGACCGGGGACTCCTTTATAATATCACCTCTCATGAGCAGCGGTAGCAGGTAATCATGCTGTTGATGACGACTTTGCAGTCTAATGATCGTATGCTTTGTTTGTGTATGTGTTGCAGTGCGTTTCAAGTGATGTCGAGTAATTTCGAGTGGTATTAAGTCGTAACGAGTGATGTCGAGTGATATCGAGTGGTGTCGAGTGGAATCGAGCGGCGTCGAGTAGTTTCAAGTGGTGTCGAGTGTTCTGCTTAACAATTCAGTGCTATGTTCGTTTAAAAGTGTTGCAGTGCGAGAAAATTGTTTTACTGACTAGGGCATAATATAGCGACAAGTGTAATACATGCGCAACACTTATTCAGAAATCAGTACTGGTCTTAAACGCATTGATCAGAAGTGAACGAACCATTGGAAAGAATAGAGCATTTTTCGGCCACTCGCGAAAGTTGTCTAAGAAATGGAAAGACTCATTAGTGATCAGGCAGTTTCTTATCCCGTGCTGCAGTTGAGTATAATGTGGCTAACACTATGCTAGTTTGCATACTCAACCCAAGTATAAAATAGATAAATTTAGACTTGATTAAACTGCAGTCCTGGTTTTGGGACTTTTGGACATTTGTGGCCCTGATATTGAGATGTGCTCTTCTTGCAACATATTTTGTATTATGAACAGCTAAAAGAAACCGAATGGGATGGTTAGCAAGAAAACAGCAGTTGTACTTTTATCCTTATCTTGCTATGGAACCTTCCTCTTTAATATACATAATAAGTTCCGAGACAACGATTTACTTTGTGTTGAAAACAACTGCTTGTACTGTGGCCGTACAAGCAATTATTTCCTCGCTACATCAGAAATAATTAAACAAAAGGTTTTTGCAGAAATTTAAGCCTGCACATATATGTACAGACTCTAGCTAACCCTTGAGTCTCCTCGAGGGTGAGTCATGTCGCAGCTGCCGTAGAGACGACCATGAGTTTTCGTGCATGATCGAAAAAATTACGATTAGACTCCTAATTGAAATTTTACAAACAAAATACACTTGCAGAATACACTTGTAAATTACTTCACCTTGTGACTGATCGAATTCACACACTGTGTCACTTTGTAGATTTTTTGCGCTAGCCACTCAGGCCCTCTTTAGGTACCCCACCGCTTTGTCCAGTTCAGCATATTTCGTGAGCCGTCCCTGCTCAGCGTGCTTTAGATAGGGTCAACGACCATCCGCCTGTCGATCCTTTTTTGCTTTATCGCTGCTTCCGTAGATCTACCACATTTAATTCGGGTCAAGGCGCTTGATGCCATACCAGCTCGCCTTGAAACGTCATCGAAGTCTTCATAGTTTACTCGATTCGCTCATTTACCGCTTGTCGACACTCTTAGATGTGCTGGATAATAGAGCCAGCATCAACCTGCACCTCTACATCCATCAAATCTTGCGTTGACCAGCCTTCGTTTGTTTCCATTGCATTCTGACGGCTTCCTATCGACCAGGTCGTTAAATAGAGTAAAAGACCACAAAAACATGATTTACATATGCATGCATGTTCCTTCGCAGCGCTCACTATGATGTGGATGGCGTGTTAATGTCGTGCGACACACACAAGATCTCGGATCCAGCCCCTCGTGCGCAGGTTTCAACTCGCACATCGCCGACGAGGTCGTGTGTACAGTGTTTCTATTTTACGCGCCAAGATGTGAGTGAGAACAAAAAGGTGTACATTGAATTTGAGAGGGATGAAAGACCAAAGATTACATGCAACAAATTTAAGAGGTGACCTGGTTTACTTTCCTTTTTTTACATATTCATTATAAAGAGCAAAATAGTAAAAGATGATCTTTATAATTTCCGCACAGTTCGATTTGGATTAAAAAAAAAATTAAATGCTCATGCTTAAAATTTAACCTGGGGAAAAGCAAAAAAAACTTGTAAACAAGAACTAATTACAAGGAGCAGAAGCACGGGGTAAAACCAAATTTTTAAAAGTCCGGCAATATGGCGGGTCTTCTCGCGGGCTCTATGGGGATGGAATGAATAAATTTTGAGTCGTGCCATGGAAGGTGACGCCTTGCATGCGCTATACTCTGTGGCCATGGGATCTGCGCAAGCTGCAAAGAAAAGAGGCCTTCGTAACGTGAGTACAAATTTCGGTGTAGGTACGCACATAGATCCTGATGATTATTTCTTTCGCGTGGTGAATATTGATGACTGCAGATGTCTTGATGTCGAACGCCCTGACTTGATTGATATTTATGGATGTAAATATCGACTTTTAAAGGCCGGACTTAATCAATGTTGACGTGCGTAGGTATAAGGATGGCACTTAATAAATCAAATGTAGGACCCACTTTTTTTACTCGTGTATAGTAGCCGATAGATCTGGCGTCTTGCGGAGGTAACTTGGGTCAGGTCAATCGCGAAAGACAAGACAGCTGGACTTGGCGGGATATGAGTTAAGTTTGGAGTTCAAGCAATACGAAAAAATCTTTATACTTCGCCTAGCCGCATAAACATCTCGTATTTTCACTGCTGACTTTTCAAACGTAACCCTTATTGTTTGCTGCACGACTTCTTTCTGTAAATAGGCTGCGATCGTGACTATAATCCAAGCAGATGTTTCACCGGTGTGCTTTTTGTAAGCAATCTCTTTCACAGTCGGCAGACGATTGAAATAATTCTTTAAAGGTAACAGGTGGAAGCTCGCAAATTTTGTATGTTTTTGCAGAACGAGCGAGCCTCCACGAATCAGTACGAAGTAGGTTTCGAAGGACTCAATGCCACAGTGTCATTATCATCACCGTTTAGATGTTTCCAATGTTCGTGTCTACATGAATCCTGCAATTGCTCGTGTACATATGTTGCTTTCCTTTTTACGTTTGTAATAGGTAGTCATTTCAACCTCTTGGAGACTTTCTTCTTGGCCGCTAAAACTTTCGCTGTCCAAGAGAATTAGTGCGTAGGTCGATATGCTATAAAAGCGTCATGTTGCACCACAAAGAAGATGTAAATTTTTGCTCTTACGCCGATCAATTGAGCTTTTCAATTTTTTTTGATCAATTTTTTTAAAATATGGGCTTGCTGAAACACTCTCAAGCTGCGACGCCCCGAGCGCTTTCTTTAGACACCGTGGGCCTCTCAGCCTTCGATGATAAAATCTGTCTAAAATGCATAACACTGATGATTTAGGCGGCAACAATTTTTTGTAGGAATACAGCCAGCCACTCATAACAAACATTCAACACAGTCTATTAATATTTTTTTCTTTTCTATCCATCCAGCTTACTAAGTCCGGGTGTTTCATTTAACGTACAAAACCCGTCCATTTCTGTAAAACCAATTACAAACGTCCATTT